AGAAGCTTGGAAGCAGAAACCAGACAATGATGCAGGATCCATCATGTCTGCAGTGAATGTTGTGGAGGAGGTCGAGCATGTGAGATGCCGACGAGGAGCAGCGGCGAATCCCCCGGCAGAGAATAGTAGTTGGCGGATGAGACAGAGCTGACGTGGTTGACGTAGCACCACAAGGAGAAAAGCAGGCCCGGCCATCAAGATTCAGGAATACTGCCAGAAGAGGTGATGCCACAGGCTGATGAGCACCAACACCAATGAAAAGGTGCGTATACGAGACAAAGTCCGAGGCCACACCAGCAAACAGCACGAGACAGCCAGGGAGGGAAACCATGCCCGATGACATTGTACCTGCTCTTTTTTTCTTCCAAACCGGTTGCTCACGTGAACGAGAAAACGCCCCAAAACAGAGGGTCCCCAGAGTGCACATGGAGCCGTGGACACATGAAAGTTTGCAAAATGTCATATGAAAGACAAGTTCAAGGTATGCAGGCACAGATCCCTGCCAATGCTGAAATAATATATTTCATTGAGAATGACAATGTCAGTGATGATCAAGAAAGGACCACTGAGCAGTAGCTCCAAATATCCATGCATGGTCTCATGAGCCTCAGCAACAAAAAGCACAAATTCACTGCCACAGTTTCTTTTAATATCTCTGCTACTGAACTAATTGATAGTGTTTAGCACATCAAGCTCAGTGTGTACTTACACCAACAAATAATACTAAAGTTCTAGTAGCAAAAAATGGGAGGCAACATTGGGCTGAGTTCATCTCTAAGAATTGCAAGTACACCATCCAAAATCAAGTCCTCCGTTCTCATTTCAGGGTGCTCAAACTACAAGGATATAACATAACACCCCAGCCACTCCCGCACTGGACCTCTATGCTCTAGACTGGCCCACAAACAAACACTAGTCTTTCCAACACACTTTGTACTTGTGTGCAGCCAGGGAAACCTCCCGATCAACCACCCATCCCCGAATTGCTCCAAGCCAAGCACGCTTAACCGAGAGTATAGGCGATGAGCTTCCAGCAAAGAAGATGCATCTTATTGATATGAGTAGTACTATCAACCCTTTTAAGCTAGGATGCCACATATAGCATTATCCTTGGGGCTGACAGTCTCTGTTTCAATGCAATCCGGTCCAAATGGCCTACGGACTTGTGGGAATTCATGATGAAACACTCCCGTCTTCAGAAACTATACATCAGGATACCAATTTGCAGAAACTTCTACACATGAGCACTTCTTACCACTCCCAGACAGACGGCCAAACCGATGACACCTTTCAAGGCAGTCTATGCTAGAGCACCAACTAAGATTGCTGAATCTGCTCACCTGAAGAGATGGCTATTCAGATAAAGCATAACGTTTAGAAGGTCCAGCAAAGTATGAGAACTTATGGTGACAAAAACTGATCAGAGAGGACCTTCCAAGTTGGATGCATG